ATTATAATACCTCGACTCGGAAAATCATAATATTTAAAATGAATAGCATTAAAAAATCTGATATGATAATATCAAAATCAAATATTATTTTATTCTTTTATATTAAAACATAAAACGTTAATATTTTTATTAATAATTTTTTTGTTATTATACTCTTATAACAAAAATTGAATTTAGCTAATTACAATAGATTATTTTAAAGTAATTACTTTTTTATTAAATAAAATGTGTAAAAAATACAACAAAACTGAAAGAAAGATAATGAGTACAGTTATATTTTTTTTTCTATGCAAGCTTATGAAATATTAACTGTTCTATATAACCCTAAAGAGATCATTAATAATTATATACGCAAAATATTCACCATGTATTAGTTTCCTGTCGTTGTCCGATCGTTGTTACTTCTGGCCAAATCCATTCTGACTGTTAGCCAGAGACTGAGAAGGAGACTCTCTTTCGTGACCGATTTATTAACAATATCAGCAAATGTTTGTAATATCACGGTCGATTACGAAACATTACGATCTGTTAACAAGAGCATATTAATATTATCACAAAAAGATAAACGATTATATTCATTAATAGAACAAATTAAATTAAATTAAATTTTGTTTTAATTTAATTTCTCAGATACGCATCTTTTTAATCTTCGACCAAGATCACGACCAAGATCAAGAATAAATATCAAAGCGATAGACAGAAAAAAAAATTATGTCATTAAAGAATAAAAAGAATCTTACGTTAATAGCGTTGTCTAATCAAAATTGATTATATATCTCAATCACGAATACTTGAATAGGCTAATGCAGAAATATTAAACAACAAAAATTTTAAAATCAATTAGTGTAAATTACGAATCGAATCGCAAAACCACGATTATTTGACTCTCACCTCAGATATTGTAAGATATTCAGATTTTATTATACTGCGTGTTAGACAATTGCAAATACAAATGTCACTTACCAAATATATCAGCCGCAACACTCCTCATTATGGAGACGATCTATCTTATGTTCGTTGTGTTCTGAAAATACATAAAAACTCTATTAACGCTATAAAGGCGAAGCAGCTTCGTCGAGGACAACTTCGCGCGCCAACGGCACCGCGTGACGCGGCGGCGGCGGCGGCGACGCAGCGACGCTACATGTCTTGATTTTCGACCGAACGAGTATTGAAAAATAACGCGTTCGATCGATTCATCAGCAGAGTCGAATCCGTATTACATGAATTAAATGCGAGATTACTAATAAATATTATACTTACCAATTAAGTGAATCGTGGCGTCACTTGTTCCGGAGCCGATCCGTTCCGTATCCATCGCGTTCTGCAAATGAAACGTGAATGCGATTAAAATAGCGCAAGTGTTTCGTTTCCAGCGCGGTCTATTTCACGCAGCAATAGCGCCACCGTACGCGCTGCGGCGGCGTCGGTGCAACAGTGGCGCGCGGCGACGCCGACGCTACACATTTCAATTTTCGGTGGAACGAGTATTGCGAAATATGCATCCGATCAATCTTGCATCTAATTAGCGCGCAATATAGATTCGGTATTCGAATTCTGATTCGATCGGATGCGTAATCGCAATACTCGTTCGGCCGAAAATCAAGATGTGTACCGCCGCCGACGCGTCCGGCGTCGCCCGCGCCCCGACGCTTGCTTCGCGTAAGCTGACGGCACGCGAGACGAATTACGCCGCTTCACTATCTCAGTTATGCGTTTATCCATACGTTCGCTGTATGTTAACGTACGCCATACTTATGGATAAATGCGTAATTAAGATAATGAAGCGGAGCAATTTGTCCCGCACGCGGTCAGCTTATACGCGAAGCAGGCGTCGCGGCGACGCGGGTCGGCGGCGGTGGTGACGACAAAGGCGCGACAATGCTACATGTTACACAAATGCAAAGACAAGTCCCACTTACAAATTATATTAGCCGCGACGCCTCTCGTTCCGCAGATCATCCATCTCGTATCGAGTTCTACAATTATGAAAGAAATCACTGTTAATATAGTGAAGTGGTTTCGTCCATCCGCGCGGTCAACTCTGCGGCTCGCGAGCCAATAGCGCCACCGTACGCGCTGCGGCGGCGTGGGTGCAACAGCGGCGCGCGGCGACGCGTCGGCGAGAGTGGCGGCACGCGGCGACACGACACTCTTGATTTTCGATCGAACGATTAATAAGTATTGCGAAATACGCATCCGATCGAATCAGAGTGCGAGTGCCGAATCTGTATTATGTGAGTTGAATGCAAGATTGATACGCAATTATCGCTTGTCAATTAAAAAGAATTGCGGCGTCACTCAAGCGATTCGTTTCCGACGCGGTCAATTTCACGGCGTCTTCACGCGCCGAAAGCGACGCGGTGCAGCGACGCCGATTCGCATTCTTACTCTTAATTTCGCGTTATGTATACGTTAACGTGGAATATATAGTATTTATTACTCGAAATGCAGAAAATGCATAGACACAAAGTTAAGAGTACGACGCATATATTATAGCGTCGCCGGCCAACGCGTTGCCACGCTTGTTTCGCGTGTACGCACGCAAGATGAATTGCGCCGCTTCGTCGGCTTCGCTATCTTAATTACGCTATTAATGAGAAACAAATTCTTAAAGCATACCGAAAAATTTACTCCTAGAAGAAATTGTTCATATGAATTTAGATGAATTTATTGCTGCGATTCGAGATCGTTACAGCTACTCGAGCTACATCATCCAGCGTCCTTTTGCATGACCGACGACGCAACGGCAAGACGTGACACCAACTCAATGCTCCCAAACTCGATGCGGACTGTTGCGCGCGACGGCTTACGCGCCGTTTATATAGTACCCTACGTTGCGCATGCCCGACCAGTGCCGCTCCGCACTCCAAGCATTCTGATTGGATCGGCGCTAGCTTCCAAGTTGAGTATATAAATGCCACGCAGCGGAGGCGAACGGCTTTATTTGCTTACGGAGCTTGATCCGCGTCACTTCGGCGCGCTTTCATTTTCTAAAGATAGGATGACGTGACGAATAATCGAAATAATAGCTATCGAGATTTGAGAAAACTATGAAAGATATATGAGATAAATAAAGATATATAAGAGATATGAAAGTTTGTAAATAAATGTCTAAGCAATAACATATAGGTATTTGGTCTTTTCCATTATCCGTGATTATACGTACTTTTATATGTGTACATATATGTCTGATACCTATAGTATAGAGAGACATACGTTCCGTTTTATACTTGCATTCTGATTGGCTAGGCGCTAGCTTCCAAGTTGAGTATATAAATGCCACGCAGCGGAGGCGAACAGCTTTATTTGCTTACGGAGCTTGATGCGCGTCACTTCGGCGCGCTTTCATTTGCTAAAGATAGGATGACGTGACGGATAATCGAGATAATAGCTATCGAGATTCGAGAAAATTATGAAAGATATATGAGATAAATAAAGATATATAAGAGATATGAAAGTTTGTAAATAAATGTCTAAGCAATAACATATAGATATTTGATCTTTTTCATTATCCGTGGCTATACGTACTTTTATATGTTGCATGTCTGATATCTATAGACTCTATAGTATAGAGATTACGTACGTTCCGTTTTACGCATTCTGATTGGCTAGGCGCTAGCTTCCAAGTGGAGTATATAAATGCCACGCAGTGGAAGCGAACGGCTTTATTTGCTTACGGAGCTCGAACCGCGTCGCTTCGGTACGCTTTCATTTTCCAAAGACAGGATGACGTGACGGATAATCGGGATTAATAGCTATCGAAATTCGAGAAAACTATGATGGATACATGAGATAAATAAAGAAAGTCTTTGCTGATAAATAAATGCAAATTATCATAAGCATAATTATTGTAGCACTCGTCGATTGGTTATTTATACCAAATCGCGAGCATTTAAAACTTCGTGACGAAATTCAGTTCAGGCACCCTAGGTGGCTCGAGAGTCTAGGCGGTCCGCAGTTGCTTGTCGACCTTGTCCGTTGTCGTATGCGTGTCGTTACGTGCTCATAACGGCAGAGAATATTGGCGCGTAATCATAATATCGTTTCTCGTAACTGTTATCTACGACTGCTGATCACTGTCGATCGGTACTGTTGCACGTCCAGATTTTGACAGATTTTGATTTTTTCGAACATTCGAATTCGTACGACGTAATGGCAGCGAAAGCAGCGAAGCCGAAGAGAGCACCGAAAAAGAAAGGAGGTTATCAAATGCCCGAACCGATACCGGCAGGAGAAATTCTCAGCGACATATCGAAGGGCAAATGGATCCTTGGCAAATCAATCGGTGTCGGCGGTTTCGGGGAGGTTTATTCTGGTATGCGAAAGAAATCCTGTTGCTAATATATTACGTTACATCGCGCTACAAATTTTTCCCACGTTGTAAACACAACAGTAAAGTACATACTCTGGGACATAGACATAGGTAGTATGTAGTTAGACAAAAAAAAAAATGTAAATGTCGTTTTTTTTGCAAATTTATATGTACAGTTATATCTATAAAAAATGTATGATACATGTGATTTTTTCTGTCTTACGTAACTATGTCCAGCTTTTATTTCTTCTATGAAAAAATATATATTTTTTAAAAATACGTTTCTTAAGCATTTTAATTATACTACACAATTGATTAATTACAGCCGCACCATATTCCGAGAAGATCCCCAAGGATTATCCTAATGTCATAAAAATTGTGAGTATTACAATCTCTCTTTATTTTTGTTATTTGTATAGTGGTTTTTGTTCTAGCTTCACATTCATTAAATTTCGTGATTTTAGGAACCACATGGAAATGGTCCATTATTTGTAGAAATGCACTTTTATATGAGGAACTGCAAGCCAGATGAAAGTAAGTTTAAAAGTAACATTTATTTTTAATATGTTCTATTATACGTGATTAATTTCTCTTAAAATTACAGTCTATGATTTAATGGATAATATTATCCAATTGTATAACAAAATATTTGAGAGATAAATATATCATAGTATCTTTTTAGTTGCTAGCTGGCAGAAAAAAAAGAAACTTGCTGCACTCGGAATGCCTAGATATGTTGCTTCTGGAAGTCATGAGTATAAAAATACAAAATATCGATTTTTAGTAATAGATCGATACGGAAAAGATCTATGGAAAATATTTGAGGAAAATAACAGACAATTTCCAGAGCACGTAGTATATAAATTAGCTTTACAAATAGTAAGACAGTTATTTTAAAAAATTATTAATAATAAATAACAGTTTTAATAAAAGATAATTTATATTATTTCAATAAATTTTCCAGCTAGATATATTGGAGTACATTCACCACAAAAACTATGTACATGCCGATGTCAAAGGTGAAAATTTGTTACTGGATTTGAATTCCTACGATCAAGTCTATTTAGTTGACTTTGGTTTAGCTTCTCGTTGTACATCGAGCACTGAATTGAAAGTCGATCCAAAGAAGGCACATAATGGCACTTTACAATACACGAGCAGAGATGCTCATATGGGAGGTAAAAAATTTGGAAGTTTAAGTAAAAATTAGCAATTTTGATACTTTATGCAATTTATCAATCTCCTTTGAATTTAAATTATAAAATTGATATACATCAAATGTTTTTTTTTTTTCTTAGTACCGACACGTCGAGGTGATATTGAAATTTTGTATTACAATATAATCCTGTGGTTATGTGGTTCGCTACCATGGGAAAAATTACTTGATCCTGCTACCGTTCAGAAAGAAAAAGAAAAAGCTTTCAATAATGTAGACAGTTTCCTAAATAAATGTTTCCGTGGATCTGCTCCAAAAGCTGTACACAAATTCATGACTCTACTAGCTAGTGTAAAATTTAACGAGATACCATCTTATGAAAAATTGAAGGAAACGTTATTAGATGGTTTGAAGAAATTGAGTCATAAACCAGATGGGAAATTAAAATTAAACAACATTGGCATGCCAGCTCAACAAAATGCTTCTATTATAAACACTCCACAAAAAATAAAGAAACCCATAAATGGAATCAGAAAGAGTCCCCGTACGAAATATGCAGATGCTCCAAGTTCTATGAAAAATTCAAGACAAAGTACTATAGGTGTTATAATTGACAAGAAGCGTGCTAATTTAAAGGATATTGCGAAAGTATTAGATGATATGGATACTGATGAAGAATACGATATTCAAATTCTTAAAAAAGCGAAGAAAACAGAATCCATTGAAAAAACAAGTAAGATAGTGAAGCATAAAACTCCAAATAGAAAAAAAGTTCCAATCAAAGATGATTCTGAAGATGATTCTAATATAGAGGTAATTACAGTATTATCTGAAAAAAAGAGTACACACTTCTTGATTTGATTCAAATTTAGATTTATTTTCGTCATTAAAATACTTATTTCTACCATTCTAGCCGGTTCCAAAACGTTCAAATAAAACGCGACCGAAAAAACCGGTCACAAGTAAAACAAGACGAAAAATTAAGTCTTTGAATGATTCAGAAACCGCTTCTGAAACTGAGGTAATAAAATTTAGATATTTAACTTATTTTTTTTTTTTTTTTCAATTTTTATATAAATAAGAATTAGATAAATATATAAATATCATATAAATATACAAATAAGTTTTTAATATACTTTCAATATATCTTTAGATTGTGTCAAAAGGAACAAGATCAAGACCTGCTGCGACTGCTATTAGGAGTAAAGGAACCACTAGTAATCAGTTGCAACCTAATAAAATAATACCCACATGCACAACTGAAAGTCAATCAGACGAAGATATGTTCGATACATAATTTCATGAAGAATAAAATGAAAGTACAATTATATATAGTATTTGTACTACAAGAAATATAACTTATGTAATTTGCATTTATATATTATACACTTTTGTACATCTCTTACGCATTTGACATTAATTATCACTAATACATTATTTACCATATAGTGTTTATGGCAATGCCAATGACAATATTACATCAGTATTTCTGTATATATGTGAATAGTTTCAAAAAATGAAAAATTTGGAAGTATAAAACTGTTATAGTTAAAAAAACTGGTTGATATTTTTTTAATAAAATGAAGTGTTGAATGCACGTTGTTGAAATGATTCTATTTATTTTTATATGTGCTGAGTATAACAGTCTTCAATTTTTCTTGCTTAACAAAATAATCACAGAAAAAAGTAACTCAAGAATGAATTCGATTTATTGAACATGTAAGATATATCAGACATCTTCCTATAAATTTTCAAATAAAGATTCAAAATGAATTAAAGGGTATAAAATTAAATTGCCTTAGAAAGATTTTGCATATATATTTACATATTATACATTTATATTTTCTATAATCAAATTAAGTATTTGGATATTTATAATAATTACTATAATTGTAAATAATAGATAAATAGATTTTACACTTTTTGTTTAAAAAAAATAACTTTTTGTCAATTAATATTCATAAAATATTGTGTAATTATAGAAAATATGCAATTTTTCACGAATATGTAAGTTTTACATGTTGCAAGTAATTAAAATGTTATCAATTATCCGAATTAAAATCAACATTTTTCAGATGATTATTTTTTTAATTTTTGAATCTGAGGGGCGCTTATTTTCACTTTTCCAGGTATATTCCTAGCTATTGTCTCATCTTTAATTACTTTTAAGAGATCTTTTTCACGTGAAGAAATTTCTTTGTCTCTGAGAAATACAGCTACAGCTGTTTTGGCAGCTTTACCTCTCTTACCAATACCAGGTGTCAATTTCACTTTAAACCTAAAATAAATTTAAAATTTATTATAAATAAAAAATTATTTTAAATGTTTTTACTTTACACAATGTATGTCACAGACACATACTTGTAATTTTGCAAGGTATTGTAAGGCGCCACAACAGGGACAGCAAACAATAATTCATCTTCTGATACAGGCTTTCCTGTCAATTGATCGAGCATATCAACTTCAGGAACTGGACCAGCGTCTTCATCGTCAATGTTGTCTATCATATGCGTAGATTGCGGCGGAATGTTTGGTTTTGGATTTGTCTTTTTCTTTCCTTGTTTTGGACCTGATGGATCTTTAGTCTTATTTTTTCTTTTGTCTTCTTTAGCTGCGCCTGCCGACTAAAAATAATTGAAAAAAATAAGGATGTTAGATTAAATAAGTTTAGAGGTCAAATATTCAATACAAAATTTAAAAAAAAAAGATAAAACCTGCAAAACGAGCATTGAAAGCCTTCTATCTTCCTCATCCTGATCTTTGTACTTTTCTTTCATTTTCTTTAGCTTTCCTTTTTGTCCCCGTTTTAGTGCAGGTTGCTCTCCCTTTTTATTATTTTCATTCTTATTATCCTTCTCTGTTGGTTCTTTTGGATGTATTCTTTGTTTTGCTTTTGTATGTTTGTCCATAGTTGATGCATTTATCATGACAGGCTTATCATCTCCTAAATAAACTACACTTTCTTTTGTATCCTCCTGAGATTTATTTATTAAGGGCTGATTATTATCAACGTGTAGTTTTACCCTGTGTAATATAAAAATTACGTCATATATATATCATTTGAATTTCAACTATAATCAAAAATTTTGTATTAACTTACTTTGGGCCTGAAAGATCAATCTTAATTTGCGTATCGGGAAATTGATATTTCGTATCTTCTTCATCGTCTTCTTCATATGCATCCTTTTTAACGCTACTGTCCATTACATGGGATTCTGATTTCTCTTGATCCTCCTCTTCAATTGGATCTAATGTATCTTTGTCTTCTTGATTTTCATCTAACGTTAAAAGTTATGAGCATTTGAAAATATATTAACAATTATAGAATAATTAAATGTTAAATAATTTACTACATAATTACTTACCTTCGTCCGACTCGCTCTCTAATTCTATTTCCTTGTCATCCTCGACTATCGATTCTGCTTTTTCACTTTCCTCATCTATTGCTTTCACTCTCCTTTCATCCTTATGGCGTTCGATGGAACTGTCCTCTAGGCGAAACATGATACCTAATCCCATAATTAATTGACTTTGCGTCAGATAATTCTTTTTCCCACGTATCATGAAGGATCCGGTGGTAAGGTATTCACCAGTAGGCGCACTCTTGGATACTTGATCATGATGCACCCACCATGCACTAGTTATTACTTTCGAATCCCATGCTATACTATAAACGTAATATTAATCATGATTACATATGTAATTATAATAAAATAATATTTTGAAATATATATATATAAATTTGGTAGTTCTATTATGGTAAAAATAAAAATCAATACAACTACATATGTACCTGTATGCAACAGCCATTGCACCTGCTTCTGCTAATGATTTTGGCGATACAGGATTGCCACTGGGATTTTTTATTACGACAGAACTGGCACCAGTTAAATCTGCATGAACATATAGATCTCCCGGCTTTAGATATCTTTTCACTATCAACTCGTTCTGTTGTTGATCTCTTCCTCCAATCACTATAATGTATATATGTTGAAATTAATAAATTTGACATAAATTTTGACATTATTATTATATTGACATTTAAATTATTAAAAGAAAAACGTACCTAAATAATTTTCGGATGTAATAAACCAATAGAATTTTTCAAACCAATACATCTTTCTTAATTTACTAATGGTATGTATGGTTTGCACTTCTTTCAACGTTTGCTTTGTTTTCTTTTCCGCCGACTTCAAAGCTTTCCCCTCGGATTCTATCGTTTTTTGCTGCTTCTTTGCGGCTGATTTCTTTTGACTATAATACCTCTTGGCATTACTGAATGCTGTATGAGCCAAATCTATGTCGATGATCATAGGTTTGAGCTCAGATTCCTCGTCACTGTCTTCGTAAGGATCGTGCAACATTAGGGCAATATGATTGGTTTCTAGTTTTAATTGTTTTACAGCAGAAGCGACAGGATCACCTCTGGCTTGAGCTTCTTTCAATAAAACCTGAATGTCGGGCCAAGACATCTGATTTGCCAAGGCGCTTTGTATAGCTAGTATAGCGTTGTCCACTAGAACCTGATTCCTTGAAATTAATTCGGCTTTTTGTTTATCTAATTCCTGTGTCTTTTCTAACGTAATCAATCTCTGACTGTGATCCTTTCTCACTCTTTCCAACTTTTGCAAAGCTTCTCTTTCCTGTTGCAAAGCCTTCAAATCTATCTTTTGTCCTTCCATTGTAGAGAAATATTCATCCACTGCAGCGTCAAACGAATCAAACTCCTTGTAAGGCTGATTGTTATACTGCTCAAACAAGAATGGATGGAATTCAATATTAGCAAGTATAAAATCTTCCTTGCCATCCTGAATCAGTTTCGATTCTTTTTTCTGTATGATATAGCCTTTTGAGACATTTTTCTTCGCATGATCCAGCATGTTATTAGCATCCTCGAGTGCTAGAATTAATTTTGGCATATCTTCATTGATATTAAAATCTTTACCGATTTTGCAACCAAGATTAAATCCGGCTTTAAGTAAAACATGATCAATCACAGCTGAACCAAATTCTAATTGTGGATTTAACACTTTTTTAAGACTGTCTCCCTCCTTAGCTTTCTGAATATGCTCCTGGATTACATCTACAGGTGGCATAGTTGTGGAATGGGCTCTGTCTAAGGGATACTTCTCTTTTACTGCAAATCTAAAAATAATATGATTTTATCAGTACTTTATATGACGGCATATGTGTACTATATTGTAGACAGATTTTGTTCATTTACCTAATCTTATCTCCTTCGGTGTGAGGTCTTAACACATATAAAATTACCATTTCGTGATCAGTGAGGATTATATTACCGCGATCGTACACCTCTAAAATTAGATGGTAGGCAGCTTCGCCACTTCCGAATTGCAACTTTATTATTCGATCCATACCGACTTGCGTGAGACTCTCTAATCTTTTGTTCTTAAGATGTTTGCGCATCTGTAAAATTATAGATTCCGAGGTAGACATTCATTATTGCCATCAATAGCAGAGCTATTTTATAATTTAATATCATTGTTACTTAGCAGATACCTTCATGGAGAAACCTGAGGGAGCTACATTCTTGGGCCACTCGAAAGCTGTGGTGTGGATCCTGTTACCAGATTCGAGCAGAAGAATGCATTTTTCCTCGCTCCGTTGAAGACGTATAAGATACGTACGATGATCTATATCGTATATCTGATTGACACGCATGCCAATAAATCTAAAAGTTTTTACATAAGTGTGAAATAGCACATAAGCATAACTTGTGCTAACCTGTTACACTATGATATTGTATAATTTATATATCAACATTTAGTAGTGAAAATCAGCTGCGACTGATTTAAATATTTATTAAAATAAAACTTTGTGACTTTACTTTGCTGGAGACAGATTATATATCTTGAGAAGAATGAAATATTATTTCTGTCATAACCTTAAGATCTCACTAAAGTCAGATATTCTTTTCGTTTCTTTTCCTCTTACCTTTGCAGTTCAGTAACTGAACATACAAGATCGTAAGTGTTAAATCGTGTCTTCATTTTTAGACGGGCTCTGCTTTCTCTTTGAAAAATTTATCGAAAAACACAGTGAATTTGACACACTGACAATTTACCCTATCCTACAGATCCTACTGGCTTGCAGTTTGCACAATATGACGCTATACTTGACACTCGAGTAAAATGAGCGAAAAGCCGCGTCATATACCCAAATAAGATATAGACGAACGTTTATCGAAAGTTTTTTTGCGAAATTAATCTTATCTCTAAATCTCGTGTTCTAATCTATTAAATTTTACTTGAGACATCTCTTTTCTCTCTCTAAACTGAATATAGGTCAACTTATTTCTAGAAAGTAAGCATGATAAAGAAATTGTTTCAAAACTTGACAAATCTTCTGTTATGAAGATTACTTCATATAACTTGAAAATTTTGGAAAAAAGTAAGATATATTAAATAAAATCTCAATAGTAATCCTATATATAAAATGGATTGGAAAGTAAAATAGAGAGAATATATCTATCATTAATTTATAGGAAATAGGCAAAGATAGACAAGACACATATGATATATAGATTTTAAATGTTTTTTTTTATATTCAATAATATGAATAAGATGTAAAGTTTGCGAAAATTAACGGTAGGATTTCTGGTATCGTGCCCTGGCACCTGGACCACCAAATTTCTTCGGCTCGCATCTCCTCGGGTCAGCAACAAGGAGAGTACGATCGTATTGGATAAGGATGTCCTTTACCTCCTTCTTGCTGGCTTCATCGACATCTAAATTAACAATCGATGCACACGTGCATTTAATTATTACAAATCATCTGGTAAGTCATCAATCAACAATCTCGCGTGCATTATTAATTTGCACTCACACTTTTGATAGTAAGCAACCAGAGCTTTGGAAATAGCCTGTCGAATGGCGTAGATCTGTGCGACGTGACCACCGCCGCTTACCCTCACTCGGATATCGACTCCGGAGAATTTCTCCTGAAACACAAACGCAAGACGTTTCTGCTTGATGAAAAACCGCATCTCGCTTGCGCTCGTGAAGAGCTCGGAGAGGAGACTGCTTTCAGAATCTACTGCTAATCATGAACCATCATGTTCGGAATAAGTAGACATCACAAAACGACAGCTGCGCGAGCAGACGTGACAAGCCCGCGTGACAACTTGCACCGCCGCGTCGCGTCAACGTCCTCCCACACAATCGGCGTCCGAAGTCACGACAGTCCACGTTGCCACTCACCTTGCCCAGCAGCAGGATGGGCTCCTGCAATTTGTACTGCAGCACGCGGGGCTCCACCAGCTCGAGCGGCCGGCCGTTGACGCGGAGATTTCCACGGCCGCGCTTACAGTAGGCGACCGCGGTCGCGCTTTTCTGCAACGAGAGGACGTTCGCGTTAAAACACGCCGTGCGTTAATCCACGCGTGGACCACCTAACCTCAAAACGCTTCACTAGCTCACCTTGCGTCCGAAGACCTGCACGGAGTGGATCGGCTCCTTTTGTTTCTGGAAGAAAAAAGGGAGCGATTCAATTAATTGTTCACTTCCATTCGTAATCGACGTAATTCCGCGAAGACAAGCACGAAATTTACCTTCTGCATTTTGACGACCGAGTAGCACGTCGTGGAAAGAGACAGAGCGGAAAGAGAGTCGCTCGTGGCGCGCATGCGAATTGCGAAGCATTCATTCATTGTGCACTTGACTTACGGAGTATCACGTGACGTGACGACGCCAGACGACGCTATCCCCGCTGCCGATGCCTTCGAATATTTCGGCGCGGCGCCATAACTAGCGGAAGCAGTGCTCGTTTCGTTCGTGTTTTTTTTGCCTAATTCGTCTAATTTCTTTCTCGGAAAGTTGGCAGAGGTATGCTCACATCGAACCATTACCTGGTCAGCGAGCCGTCGGGATATTTTATACTCCGCGATTGCGTGTCGATTCCGCGATCCGTCAGAAGTGAATATCGCGTGCGAATGAGTGTCGAAAGCGTCGCAATGATCGAATCGAGCAACACCGGCGATCGACCCGCGCGATCATCTTGTAAAATTCGATAATGTCGTGTTAATTTTCCGGTCGTGGCGTCATATAACCTCAAGGAGAGGTCGAAGACGCAAATCTACCATTCATGTGGAACAATATATCCCTCAATTCTTCCGTTCGATTACTACAGAAGGAAGAGATAACCAGAAGTAAAGAGGAAGGCGACGCATCCAGTGAGTGAGTTATTTGTTGTATTCCGCTTATTATCATTTACCGTTCGACTCCGATTATGAATACATATGTATTTCTCAAGCGATAACATACATATATATATTGTTCTTACGGATCACAGCTGAGTTTTTTGGACGTAAATGTCCTACATTTGGAATGCTCGGACTTTTAGTACTTTTTACTATTATTTTATTTGCTGTTCGAAATGCAAAAAAAAAAATATCAATGTGAAGTCAAGAGCAGGACGTCGAGTCGCTTTAGCGAATAAAAACGAAGCTGCCCGTGACGCCGCGTCGTGCTCCGATATTCACCGGCTTCGCTGCCACGTGCACTGAAAATCTATGGTGCACGTATATAATAGATTTTCAGTATTTGCAGAAAATATCGGAACGCAGCCTCTAATTAGATATTTTTACATTTCATTTGCAGAAAGTTGCGGACAGAACGGAACCGCTGTGTTACTCCAGACTTTTGTGCGGAAAGAATTCAATATCGATTGCAACGTACGAAAGATCTCTCCGAGGAAGGCAAAGTGATAAAGGCTATGACACGATGTGAAATAATCACGATCAGGTACAATGAATCATGATTTTATTTGTTATATAATAATATCTACAATAAAAATACCATATCGTTTGAAAAACAATTTTCGTTACAATTATACAGTAATTTTATATAATAATATAATATATATATATTTATATATATATATATATATATATTTAGGTTTTCGTTCCAAATAAGACGTAGCGATGAACATACACCTCGCGCAGTGGGAGTGAGAAAATACATTATTTTTTTGTCGCAAATTCCGCGTTGTGGTTTCGTCACTCAGCGTGTGTTGTATGTATGTGTATGGGTGTGTATCTCTTGTTTTTCATTTCTTTTTATTTTTCGGATCGATCTGTCGCGCCAACACTCAACACAAGCGTAACCCGCATTTCGTAATTTTATTTCCTTTTTTTTTTCGATTCGGCCTCACGTTTTTTGATCGTATTTCCGAAAAAAAGAGGCTTCGTCGTCGGAGATAATCGTCGCGGGGAGGCCGCCGTCTCGAGTGTCCCCATTCCTTCTTTCTATCTTTTTGTTTCTTTTTTTCCCTTTCTTATTATGTGCGGAGAGTGTTGTAAAAAGCGTTGGAGTGCGCAGAGAGCGACCCAACTATTCACCGCGCTCGACCGCGCGGACAATATCCCCGCTTAGTCTCTAAATTAGCTACACTTAATAGTTAATAGTACCGTAATGTCATCTCAATATATATATATATACTTATTTATATATATATATATATCTCAATGTATTAGTTTATCATAATATATAGAAAATACATATAACAATTATTTAAATGACTCACAATCAATCATCTTGCCATGGCGCGCGTATATACGACGAGCGTTCATGCCGTGCTCCTGCGCATATACGCGCCCATGTGCACATACGCGTGTATATATATATTTATATTATATATATATATATATATATAAACATATATATACATATATATTTATCGGTGTGTTAATTACATGATATTTTTACACTCGTCGTACAGAGGGAGGAAAAGGATGGCATGGAGGCTCGAGGGAGTGGAGGGAGGACGGGAGGGGAACGGATCTTTCATACATTTACATTGTCTCTCTGTCGTACTGCTAATTTACAGGGAAATTCTCATCGGTACCTAGTCGATATCTTACAAACGTTTTTTTTTTTCTATCTTGTACTGTAGTACGTATCCTTGCATCTAGCGAACACGTCTCGTCGTCCTGTGTCCTGGCAGGCATTTTTGTATACTGTCTGCCTTCGATCCATCTTTCCTGTTTAATTATATAGCTCTTACGTATCGCGGTGTTTGCGTCTTTTTAACACGTGACATTTGAAAACTTATACTCGCATTTACGCAGATCTACGCAATGATACAGATATCTGAAGAGAAAGAGAGAGAGATTAATTTCACGGTTCTTGAAAATCAATATTTTAACAATCTTCACGTAATGGCTGGTGAATCGGATTAAAATTGAACAAATGAGACCTCCTTCAGCAAAGATATAATTATGAGAGTAGCTGCTATTTTGTGACGATGCATATACAGTTAAAAGGTAAATTGAAATATAGTGGAGTCGATGAGATTTGATTTGAAATCTCTCACTCCTCAATTCCTATTCACCTGCCGTAAATTATCTTCGCTATGTATTTCGAGTCTCGTGTTCATTTTAATTCAAAATACTTATCTCACACTTTGATTATTAATGTCCCGATATAAAACAGATAGTGGATAATTTTTTCCTTCCTCTCTTTTTCCTCATATTTTTAATGCCATTTTGATAAAAGGCATTACACATAGCCGCATATATACAAGCCGAGAAATGCTCGGAAATGCTGGAATATCTGCGGCTGCGTGTTTCTTGACACGTTCATAGCTTTCGCGATTCTTTTTGTTTGGTAACGTTACGATTAAATTCAGAGTCGCCTTTGTATTTATCTCGCAGATGATTATCGTTACGCATCTGCGTTACAAAATCTATCATTTGATAAAATTCAGAGGCATTTGAATAACTTTTCGTTTGAAAAGTTTTACATCCTTCTGGTATACCATATATCTTCACATAATGAGAGATACGTTAACAGGTAATACAATGCAGTTTTCAACCGCAACGTCTAAAGTTTTGCAAAATTAATAAGGAGTGTATAGATTTCCTTACTTTTGATTCTCGCTTTGATTATCATTTTAATTTTAATAATTGGCGACCCTGAAAAATCATTTCTCATATATGTGACTATTACATCCTTAGAAGATGTAATGATTCTCAAATGAAATTGAACTTCTCGAATTGTGTATTTAGTTCTCGATCGAAGTTGCAGATTGTCAGTAATTTTTACGTAATTATTCCGTGAACATAGCGAGATCTTTAAATATTTTCAAAGAATTCGATCGACAACGAAATTCATGAGAAGTCTCTTTCGCGCTCCAGCTCTTTTCCCAACCATATAAGTTAAATTTATGCGATTAAAATTCTCTAACTAACTAGTTAGTTAGTGTAAATAACTAACAGTTTCTAATTGAGGAAGTTTCTAAGAATCTTTCCATCGCCGATTAAAACGCTTTGGAAGATACCATTTTTCTTCTCTCTCTTTTTCTCTTTCTTTTTAAATTTTTCTATTATTGAGCGTAGAGGTATTGCTATGTGTTTGTCAAGAAGAATCATTTTGATATGTCAGACGTCCGTATCTCGCCTCCCCTCTATTTCCTTCGTATTTCGTTTGCTCCGTCACCCTTTCGCCCTTCCTTTTCTCTTTCGCTCTCACACTCGCTCGCACAACACGATTTTCAAACCCCTTTCGCCGCATTCTCCGCCTGTATCGCTCTTCTTTTCAAAGGACGACGTGCGTGAAGAGACGCATGGGAAAGAAAACTAACGATACTGCAATATTTAATAATGTAATAATTAAGCAATAATTTAGGAAAAAGCTCTCTCTCTCTCTCTCTCTCTCTCTCTCTCTCTGTCTCACTCTCTCTCTAATTCTCTCTTAGGGCTGGACGTATGCGCTCACAGTTGATAGGCAATGGGATACTCTTGTACAGTTTTATATACAAAATTGAAGAACACCGAGCACGATAGCGACACACTGATTGACCTGTACAGACTGTGAGACTTCATTTTTGACATACATAAAAATATGCGCGGACACCGTTGACAATCAATATATAAATATATACATTTATGTTATGTATTGCATATTTTATACGGCGGAAGGATGACAACTAGAGAGTCAAGGGGGGAATTGGCGTATGTCTTTAAGTAAATATCCGTCCAGCCCATCGAGCGGATGCAATTAGAAGGATAAATCTCTTCAGGGTCTCGTCCGCAGATTTCGAGCGCAAAGGATGCATTACGGCTTGGCTTTACCATCAATTAATTTCAATCATAGGTTGATAATATCTCTTTTTAATTCTGGACAACAACACAGAGTACATTAAACAGAGATTAAAATTAATCGTTCTTTCGGTAAAACCAGCCCATAGTCCCTTCGAAGTTATTGACATTTTAACAAACGCTGGTTGCTCTTCGATATCTCAATCACATTGAGTTCCGCGATCGCCTTGCGTTTCAGTTACGATTAATAGCACGTATTCTCTAATATATCTCGTATCGCGCATTTTTAGCGCTAAATGCACGTATCCATTTCTCGTCACACGGTCGCGATTTCCGTACAGAAATAAGACTCGTAGCCGGGCAGCTACATTTGGCATTAAATTCGCCGCTAAATAAGAAACATAATGTGAGAAAACGAGAACGTATGGCTTTTATCGTTGTTGATGATTCTTAATACTGCTTCCACTTAATGAGCTACTTAAAGATATACGAAGAATCCTCGCGAGACATCGCCGTCGCGGACACACGCGTGCGTTAATTCTCTAGATGGATCCGTTTTCCATTCGATCTTCAACCGTGAGATTCTTGCATTTCAATGCGATACACCCGTT